AAGATATACAGATGACAAATAAGCATATGAAAATGTGTTCAACATCATACGTCATTCAGGAATTACAAATTAAAACAACAATGAAATAGTACTACACACCTGTTAGAATGGCTGCGATCCAAAATACCACACCAAATGCTGGCAAGGATGAAGAGAACAAGTCTCATTTATTGTTGGTGACAATGCAGAATGGTACAGCACTTTGGAAGACAGTCTGGCAGTCTCCTGTGAAGCTAAAACATAGTCGTAACATAATCAGTGGTTGTGCTCCTGGGTATTTACCCAAACGAGTGGCAAACTTAATGTCCACACAGAAAGCTGCACATGAATGTTTTTAGCAAAATAACCCAAATGTTCATCAGTGGGTGAAGAAAGAAAGAAAATGTGATATATATATATATATATATATATATATATATATATATATATCAAAACCATATATATATGTCAAAACCATATATATATATATATATATATATATATATATATGGTTTTGAAAGATTTCTTTAAAGAAAAACAGATTATTGTGTGAGTTGGGTTATGATTGCATTGCATTTCCACGGGAGATTATTAAAACAAAGTAGAACTACCTTCAGTTCTGCTTACTAGAATCAAATAGACTGTCATCACTAGAAGAAACTTTAGAGCAATAAATTTCTCATTTTTTCAAAGAATAAAACCTAAAGACAGAGGAGTTGAGATTTGCTCATATACAGCAAAATATGTTTACGTAACGTCTTTTGTAAACATATGAACTATTATAAACAAAAATTTATCTCATATTCTTGTCAAGTTGTATGTAAAAGACAACACAATTAAAAAGAAAAATGTTAAGTAAAACAGTCTCACCAGATTGTTTTACTTAACCAGAGTTAGAAATAAGGTTTATTGATAAAAACCCTGAGTAGAAATAAGGTTCATTGATTTTCATTTCTAGAATATCTCTTTTTCTTTCAGGAAACGTATACAGAAAAGTAGAATAAATGGCTTGTACATTTACAGTTACCTTGACCAGTAATGGTAATTGATAATAATAATCACAACCCTCAGGGTTTATCCTTTGGGCTGAAAATTAAGAATGATACTCTGTACACCTGGAAATGTGAACTGGCCAATTAACAAAACAAATAGATGGACAAAAATAAAGGCAAACCCATGAGGCAAACAATGTTTTTAAGTTTCTCAAAAATGAGTATTAAATAGCAGAGTAAGTGGAATTGCCATTTATTTTCTAATGATTACATATTACTCATTGTTTCTACATGAACATTTCTTACTATTTGGTACATTGCCCAGTAAAATAGATTATTAATATTTTGGCTGTTTTAGCTTTTGGCTATTCTGAATAATGCTGCTATAAACATGGGTGTATAAATATTTATTCACATCTCTACTTTTAGTTCTTTTAGGTATGCACTCAGTAATGGAATTGTTGGATCATAGGATAATTCTGTTTAGTTTTTTGAGAAACTGCCATACTGTTTTCCATAGTGGTAGTACCATTTTACACTCCCATAAGGGTTCCAATTTCTATACATTTCTGTTAATACTTTTTTTCTGTTTTATATATATATATATATATATATATATATATATATATATATATATATATATATATATAAAACTATCCTAATGGGTGTAAAATGCTATCTTGTGTTTTGGTTGCATTTCTCTAATTAGTTCTGTTGAGCATTGTTTCATGTACTTATTAGCCATTAGTATATCTTTTTTGGATAAGTAAATGTTCAGGTCTTTTCCCCATTTTTAATTGGGTTGTTTTGTTACTGTTTGAGCTCATCTTTTAAAATTTAGAAATGACCCTCTACTTATTTGTAGAAGCACTTTTACCTTTTTTAGATGTTGATCCCTTACTGTTCTATTTTGTATTATTTTCTTCTCATCTGTCTTACACTTCACTTACAGTATGTTTGGTTTTGATGTTTTTGGTTTTATCTAATAGCTTCTGTCATTTTTTTCCTTTTTGCTTTGTAGGCCTTATATCTTTTTTTTTTTTTCTTAGCAAGGGTTTTGTACTCTAATATTTTCTTTACCATTCACTGATATGACATTCCTTATAGGATAATCAACAAACAGGTATTTACTATATAATTCATGTGTAGTCTAAAATTTACTGTATATTATATTTTATAGGTATAATTTATCTATTTATTTATTTTTGAGACAGAGTCCTGCTTTGTCACTCAGGCTGGAGTGCAGTGGTGCGATCTTGGCTCACTGCAACCTCCACCTCCCAGGTTCAAGAGATTTTCCTGCCTCAGCCTCTCAAGTAGCTGGGACTACAGGCACACACCACCATGCCTGACTAATTTTTGTATTTTTAGTAGAGATGGGGTTTTGCCCTCTTGGCCAGGCTGGTCTTGAACTCCTGACCTCAGGTGATCTGCCCACTTCAGCCTCCCAAAGTGCTGAGATTATAGGAGGGAGCCACTGTGCCCAGCCCAGTAGGTATAACTTATTAAATGCTGTGTTCATAATGGACTCTGGACCTTCGTTGCTGCCTTAACCGTCCAGAATTGGAGAAAACCTTTTCTCCATATCTGATATTTGAGTCCTTAAATAATAGTTCTTTGCTTAGAGGGTAGCTACTTATCACATGATATAACTTACACAAGCACATATTACTTTTTAATTTAGGCAAATTTTTCTTAAATAAATCATATAAATATATTGTTTTAAATAAAAATTAAAATCCCTATTTATGATCTTTTTGCACTCGAACCTATCTTAAAAAATTTTTTTACCAAAAATTTTTATTGTGATTTTTTAAATTTACGATAGGATTGTTTTATTTAACATTTTTGTCCTTTTTATTGTATTGTCTTTTATGTACAGCTTGATAACAACATGAGATAAATTTTTGTCAATGCATTTGTTTATAATATTTCACATTTAAAAAAGATGTTATGTCACTTTATTGTTGTAATTAGTTGGAAGTTAACCTAAAATTATTAAAATCTATCTATCCTTAAAGTAAATTATGTATGGTTCTATAAATTAAGAACTTTACGTTGGGTTACAACTAATATGTACTAAGATTTTCTTAAACAATGAAGACATAATTAAGTTAAATCCCTTGTGTAGTCAAAAATTGCACAAATGGTTATGGAGTTTTTATCTACCTAATAATTTACACTGTTTTCATCTAACAAGTCTATTCATTTGAGAAAATATAGTGTAGCTTTTCATGGTTGTAGTTACGCACAGTCAGCTATAGTCCACAAATATGCAGTGGAAAATTCGCAAAACAGACAATTCATGAATTTATATTTGTTCCATTCTGAGTAGTATGATGAAATCTCATGCCATCCAGCTGTGACTCATTCAGGATGTAAATCATCCCTTTGTCTAGTGTATCCAGGTTGTATAGGATACCTGTCTGTGTTAGTCAAAACTTAGTAGCCATCTTGGTGATGAGATTGACTGTCTCAGTATTGCAGTGCTTGTGTTCAAGTTGCCTTTATTTTACTTCATTATTCTATTTTATTATTATTGTTAATTTCTTACTGCCTAATGTATAAGTTAAACTTTGTCATAGGTATGTATGTATTATAGGGTTCAGTTCTATTTACAGTTTTAGGCATCCACTGGGCACCTTGAAAGGTATCCCACGAGGATGAGGGGGATCTACTTGCTGTATTTAGAAAATGTAATGACATTTTCTGATATTACAAGTTCTCATGAGTTCTCTTGTCATTACCCAATATTTTTCTTGTAATATGTGGATTTGTTTAAAAATATTTAAATTTTGTTTATTGCCATGTTATTGACCTTAATGATTTCCAAGATAAAACAGATACTAAGAGGTGCTTAATTATACTTCTTGACTATTATAACAACCAGGACATATATTTTAACTCTGTGTAAATCATCTGAAGTTATTTCCATGTTAGTGTATTTTGTGTAGGTGTATTTCTGAGTGGGACATTTACAGTGATAAAGAATTACATAATATCTTGAATTTGGGAAATAATTGACAGGTATTTTAATATACATAAAGCAGTAAAGCCTCCTGTGTTATGCTTTCTTTAAATTATAATTAATAAGAAGGTTTTCTATATGGCTGTGTACACATTATCAAAATTTGAACTTTTAGTACAAAAAGTTCGACTGTTTCTGTCAATTATTGGTTATGTTGCATTAAAATTATAATAGTGAATGTATTGTATTAAAAAAAAAAAAGAAAGGACCAAATGCCATATATTTGGGGTGGAAATTTGAGCCATAGTTGTATATACTTACTTTTGCAAGAAAAATCTGTATAAGATACCCTAATAGTTTGGAAAACTCTAAACGTCACAGTCAGGGATAGGTATGACATTCAGTAGTATAAACAACAATGTGTACATGAAACGTCCATTAACATTAAGTAATTTTTTTTGGAGAGTAGGAAAATGCTAATATAAACGAGCTAGATTCTGTGCCCATTTTACTTCTAACTTAATATTTTCATTTTAACCAATATTCTCCTATTTTTTAAATGGGCTACAGGACTAAACTAATAACATTAGTTAAAATAATTGTACAAATAATTCCTATGTAAACTACTTTTGGTGTGAAATTAGAGCGAAGAAAGTTTTTATTATGATTGAGATTTTTTTCTTTTCATTTCTGATGCCATCCGTTTAAGAATCAGCGTTCCAGAACAGTTGGTATAGCTTTGCATGTTTCTGCCTGGTCGTGACAAATCAGCCACTGTACACTCACAGACAGCAGTACAGTACTTGTCACTGGTGGCCTTTCTGTGACAGAGAGCCTGAAGACTGACATAAAGCACAGCCTGTTGTGAACTGTCAAGTGAGTCTGCCAAAAACTCAGCAGACAGAACTAATTGCAGAGAAAAAGGACTTTTGTGCCCTCTTCTCTTTCTTTCCTTTCCTTTTAATAAGACGGATATTGTTAAAGTAGCTTGTTTATGTAAGATTTGTCTGTCTCTCTTCTCATTGCCTGGGTCCTTTTTAATTTAAAGTCTTGTACCGCAGGTCGTTGAGCACTTCCGCATGGAGATTGGCACAGGACCAAACTCAAGACACGCAACTCATAACAGTTGATGAAAAATTGGTAAGTATTTTCTACTACACACTGCTATGATTCTGCCTTCAGGGTTATTTTTATATTACAGATATTCAGTACGGTGTTACCAGTTTTCAGGAAAGTGATTTGAATTTGAATCTAGAAATCTAGAAATTCAAATTCAAATTTAAGTATATTGCCTTAAAAATACCTAAATTTAAAGAAGAAATATTTGTCATAAAAAGATAATTTATATTAAGCATTATGTAGAAATACAAAATCATGTGCAAATATTAATTAAAATTATGAAAGGCTTTCATTTTTATGGTGTTTATAACTAGCAGGTAGACAGAACATTCATTATTTTTGTAATGAATGTTTTGCTTTTTGTTTTCTCAGTTACACTCCTATTAAGTTGTGAGGTAATTACTAGTACTATCTAAAACTAAGTATATTATATTTTCCTAGAAGCATGCAACATTTATTATCACTGTATATATATGTGTGTGTGTGTGTATGCATACAAACTCATACACATTTTATTTCTTCATGTGTATGAGAGATTACAACTAGCAAGACTAGCAACAAATGAGTAATAATATTCTGTTAATCAGTAGCAAACAGAATTTTGGCAGCCATCACTTATAGAATTTTTCAGAGTGTGGTCTGTTACTTTATATGAAACTTGATATTTACACTTCAATAGCATACATTTTGTAATGTTTCCAAAAATTCTGATAGAAATGTGTAATTGTATATATGTGCTTTTCATTTTATATCTGGTTTATTATTATCAGATATATAGGTATGTTTCTTAGCTGCCCCCTTTCTGTATTATTGTACAGTATTTTATCACTGAACTTTGAGCCTGTAAGCAAAATCTAAGTAATAGGTCACACTTAAATTTCTATTTGCACCATTAAAGATACAGACTAATAAATGTGTAAGTAAATAGAGACAGTTCGGAAAATTCACATCTTATGCTGATTGGTTTTATTTTAAAGTTAATCTCTTAGGCCTACCTACTGACATTGTCATCATCTTGATCTAGGTTACATCCTCTTTCACCTAGATTTTTACAGTAGTCTCTTAATTAATCTCCCCAGATTCTTTAATCTTAATCCAATTAATTTTCCATAGGATGGCCAAAATTGTCATTGAAATGCTGGTTTTGTCACCCTCTTTTCGTCCTTTGGGTGCTTCCCATTTCCCTTAAACATTAAAATCTTCACATGGCCTTTGACATCTTGCATGATTTAGCTCCTGCCTTCCTCTCTAGGTTTATCTTGTACCACTGTGTTTTTTATATTCTGTGGTCCAGCCACGCAAGCCTGGAACTTGCTATTCTTTTTCCTGCTTCAGGGCGTTTAGAGATCCTGTTCACTCTACCTGGATGCTTTTTACTAACCTTGAGGTCTTCATCCAGTTACCATCTACCTATTCTTCAAATGTTAATCAAACACCACTTGCTTAGTCAAGTATAAAAGAAATGAGGGGCCAGGCATGGTGGCTCACACCTGTAATCCCAGCACTGTGGGAGGCCAAGACGGGCAGATCACGAGGTCGGGAGTTCATGACTAGCCTGACCAACATGGTGATACCCCATCTCTACTAAAAATACAAAAAATAAGCCAGGCATCTGGGCATGGTGACGGGTGCCCATAATTCCAGCTACTCAGGAGGCTGAGGCAGGAGAATCGCTTGAACCTGGGAGGCAGAGGTTGCAGTGAGCAGAAATCATGCCGTTGCTTTCTAGCATGGGCAACAAGAATGCTCCATCTCAAAAAAAGAAAGAAAAAGAAACTAGGCAGTTATGTGTGTATGAGACGAGGATGATTATCACATCCCATGTCTTCATTAATGAGGACTATTATTTTAATTTTTCCTATGAGCATCTATTTTAGCTCTCAGGAGGTAACCTTCTTTTCTATTAAGTTTTCAAATTTGAGAGTTTACTATTAACTCTTATAAGTTCTCTTTTTTCTAGTATGAAGAATGAGTGAGTCAGCCAGTAACACATTGCTCTAAACAGAGTGCTGTGAAGCATACCAAAGAGGTAGACAGACTGGTTTGGTTTGGTATTTTTAATTATATGTCATAAAATCAGTTGCATACTGTTGAATTTTCTTGCCTTATATAGATTTTCCCCAGCTTTGTTATATCTTTCTTGAAGTAATAGTTGTCCCTCAGTACCTATAAGGAGGTTTGGTTCTAGGACTCTCTTCAGGTACCAAAATCCATGGTCTCATGTTGCTATAAAGAAATAACTGAGACTGGGTAATTTATAAAGAAAAGAGGATTAATTGGCTCATGGTCCTGCAGGCTGTACTAGCATGGCACTGACATTACTTGACTTCTGAGGAGGCCTCTGGGAGCTTTTAGGTGGAAGGTGAAGCAGGAGCAGGCACATCACATGGCAAAAGCAGATGCAAGGCACGGGGTGGTGCCATACACTTTTAAATAACCAGATCCCATAAGAACTCACCATCACTAAGAGACAGCACTAAGCTATGTACGAGAGATTTGCCTCCAGGACCTAATCACTCCCCATCAGGCCCCACTTTCAACATTGAGGATTATATTTCAACATGAGAGTTGAGTGGAGACAAATATGCAAACTATATCAAGTCTCTTATGTAAAATGGCATAGTATTTACATATAACCTATGCATATTCTCCTATATACTTTAAATCACCTCTAGATTACTTAACAATACCTAATACAATGAAAGTGTTATAGTGTATTGTTTAAGGAATAATGACAACAAAAAAGGAGGTATATGTTCAGTACAGATGCAACCATACTTCTTTTTCTTCACGTATTTTTGACTTGCGGTTGGTTGAATCCCTGATACAGAACGCACAGATACGGAGGCCTGACTGTAGATCAGGCCGAAATGTCACTATGATTTTCAAGCTGAAATCAATTGGTTATTATCTTTGGTACATGGCAGACATTTTCTTGAAAATAAACCTGTCACTTCAAGGAAGTGTTACCCATGAGAAACTTCAAGTGCAGTGTTAGTTTTTCAACCCTTGCACCCCTCTCTACCTCCCAGAACAGTCTTTAAATACTAGAAAGATGTCAAGGTCAATCACATCAATGGCAGATTTAAGTTCTATAAAAATTCTAACATTGGGTACTATGCTTAGTACTTGGTTGAAGGGATTTATCTACTGCAAATCTCAGCATCATGCAATATATCCAGGTAACAAACATGGACATGTTCGTCTTGAATCTAAAATTAAAAATTGAAACTTTATTTTAAAAAAAGACTATTCTAGTGGGATTGGTAATGACATTAACAGATATGATTTTTGATACTGTGTAATGGACTTTATTAACGTTTGGAATATCTGTATACCTCTGTGAACCAGTATTTTCTGTATGATTATTGCACAGTATAAAATCATACACTGTTAAAAGTTTCCTTTAAAGTACAAAATACCACAATGGGTTTTAAGGTAATCAAGCATGAAAATATTAAGGCTATCAAAATTTTGCTCCTTTTTCTAACTATATATCTGTATGATAACAAGTTTTCTTCATATATTGCAGTGAAAACAATCCACCACAACAGTTTGAATACAAGAACAGATGTTAGAATTCAGCTGTCCTCCATTAAGCTAGATATTAGATTTTCAAATGAGTGCCAAAATGCAAGTGAATGCTAAAATGCAAATGAATGCCACTCTTCTCACTGTTCGGTTTTTGAAAATAGAGTTTTTAAAATTAAAATCTTTATATTATTATATAACTGGCTTATTTTAAATTAAGTTTCTATTTTTGTCTTCATTTTAATTTATTATGTGATAGATATCTATAGATATACAAGCATACTTTGAAGATACTGCTGGTTTGGTTCCAGAACACCACAGTTAAGCAAATACCACAATAAAGTGAGTGATGGAATTTTGTTTTGGCTTCCCAGTGCATATAAAAGTTATGTTTCTACCACACTGAAGTCTGCTAAGTGTGCAATAGCATTATGTGTAAAAAATAATGTACATACCTTAATTTTAAAATACTTTATTGCTAATGATCAGCTAAGCCTTTAGGAAGTCGTAATCGTTTGACTGGTGGAAGGTCTTGCCTTCATGTTGATGGCTGCTGACTGATGGGGTGGTGGTTGCTAAAGGTTGGCGTGGCTGAGTAATTTCTTAAAATAAGACAACAATGAACTCTTGACACACTGATTGACTCTTCCTTTCATGAAAGATTTCTCTGTAGCATGTGACACTGTTTGATATCATTTTACTCACAGTAGAACTTCTTTCACAATTGGAGTCAAGCCTCTTAAACCCTGCTGCTGCTTTATCAACTAAATTTATGGAATAATCTAAATCCTTTGTTGTATCAGGAGTAGATTCTATCTCAAGAACTTCACAGTCTTTATCAGGAGTAGATTCTATCTCAAGAAATGACTTAGCTCATGCATGAGAAGCAAATTCTCCTTTGTTCCAGCTTAATCATGAGATTGTAACAATTTAGTCACTTCTTCAGGCTCTCCCCACCACATCTGCAGTGACTTCCTCCACTGAAGTGTTAGACCTTCAAAGTCATTCATGAGGGGTGGACTCAATTTCTTCCCCTTTTTTCCCCCCATATTGAATCAATATTTATTTCAGGATATGACATGTCAAAATAAAACGAGTCAGCCCTTGCCCTTAACAATTATGTCGTATTATAAAAGCACTTTACATCTCCATCCCATCTTTAAGTTACTGGTATGTGGCTAATGATTATCTATAAGCATTTCTGTATTCAGATCCATAATCCAAGCGTGCTCTGAATATTACAAGGTGACCGTAAGTGGGACTTGAAGGAGGATAAGGAAAGAGAGGGGACTAAGGTTCTCCCAGTTTAAGGTTTTGGATTCAACTTTCAAATGTAGCTTAATGTTGCTATCTTCATCACCTCCTATGAGTCCCAAATTTTCTTAGTGGCATCTTGAATGGTGAATCCTTTCTAGAAGGTTGTCAAGCTACTTTGTCCAGATCCATCAGAGGAATCACCCTCTATGGCAGCTATAGCCTTACGAAATGTA